CACCCAAAATAATATGCCAGAGTAATCGCCATCCTTTTGTGAGCCTATTAGATCACTTTTGCATCCAAAGGAAATCTCACCCTCACGAAAAATAGCTTTCTCTCTGTGTATAGTAGATTTTTAGTAGATTTAGACTATCTAAAACATCTAAATTTATTACACAAAGCTTTTTTCTGAATGAAAAAATCTACTATATACAGAGAAAGCTGTTTTTGGTGAGGGTGAGATTTCCTTTGGATGCAAAAGTGATCTAATAGGCTCACAAAAGGATGGCGATTACTCTGGCATATTATTTTGGGTGTTTGCGCCACTTTATTTGGGTGTTAGTGGGTGTTCCTAACGAAAAAGTTCTAAAGAATCATCTGTGAAATAAATTTTTTGGCTATTAGTTTGATGTTACCTAATTCACAAAGAACAGGTCTATCTCGGACTTTAATTTGGGGGTGTTGGTGGATATTAGTGGGTGTTAGCGTATTTTAGTAATACCCCAATGTTTCATGGGCCCAATTTGTACACGGTAATAATTTTTGAAAATAATTTTGTGATATTGTTATTGGATCATAGTCGCCTAATTTTAAAAGTATATGAGCAATATCGGCTAAACGTGAATGACATTTTGCATCTAATAATTCTGGTAAACGTAATTGAGGATCATTTATTAATTTTGCCAATTCTTTTAAACGTTTTGTAGACAAATGAACAAATGTTGAAATAACAGATAATAATGTATCACGTGGCCATCTAAAAGAAATATCCATAACTTCTTCATTAAACTTAATAAATTTTTCAATACGTACCGATATTCACTTGCTTGTTTATGTTCATCAGCGTCTTGTACGTTATTCTCACGATTGTCAATAAAACGACTAAATATAAAACATATATTAGATTGAAAATGATTTATCTAACAAACTTTTACCTCACTGAATCTTCGTCAGGAACGATTGATGGCGATCTATTTGATCCTCTTGAATGTTTATAACTTGTTCCACTTAATGTTTCATATTTTGGTCCGGTAAATGTTCGTGTTAACGTTTCTAATGCCGTTATCATTGTCTTAACAGTCACTGATAATTTTTCAATTGTTTTCATTTCGTCTGGTGCTTGTTTCTGCTAACTATTTGTTGTTGTTCGATATTTTAAATATTCTAAATAACGCGGTGATAGTAAATCAATAATGCCTAACATTTGTAATGATCGAATCGAATCAGGAGCATAGGCAACTAAAAATGATCAAAATATTTACTAAAAAGAAGACGGTTAAATAATGTGATCACTTATACATACAACGGTAACACAAACATCAAAACAGTTTAATAAGATACAAAAAGAATCATCTTCTGCACAGCAAAAGTCCAATGTTTTGATTCAAGTTACACCAGCAGAACCTAATACTACCACTTAACGCTTGTATACCACCTGTAACAGTTGTTGTTTGTTTATCATCTTTAACTAATTCTAATATTGAACATTCATCTCTCAATGCATCACTATGACTATATTCCAATGCAATTAATAAACGAAATAATGCGACTAGTTGTATTTTATTTGTATCGGTTATATCAGCTTGTTCATCAAAATCCAGTAATTGCGATATACTACCCTACATTTGTAATACGAATGGCACACGATGTAAGATCTAAAATTGTCTACAACAGTATTTAATTGCTTTTTTTAACGTTGGATTATTTTGAATATTCGAATAGACACGTAAAAATGTTGTCATTATTAATAAATACCCATTTGTAGCAAATATGTGTTTATAATGTCGTGCTGTACTGATATACGTTGCTAGAGAATATCTTAACATTGCAAAATCTTCAGTGTAATATGAATGCACCATTAATAACGTTTAAAAATAGTGTGATGTCCCATGTTGTTGATGTTTTACCATTCATATTAATAAGGCTGGTTCGTCCAATAAACATGCCCACAATGCTTTTCGAGTAGCTTCAGACACTAAAATCAGTATCAACAAGATAGTTAAATAATTTATTAGGAAACATAGAAAATATTTACCAGTTGCATTGCTCTCAACAATTTTCTCATCTTCCAATACTTCGATGAGAAGAAACACGGCAACACTGAATGATGATGGAAAGGCGCCTTGAGCTTGGCGAGTGTAAACACTTTCAGCAAAACGATCGTCGTCATTATGAACTTCTTCATCTCTTTGTTGATGAAACAGAAGGATAGAAGAACTAATTTTACATGGGTTTAGCACTTCAATTGATCCTTTTCATTAGCCAGTGAGAATTTTATGTCCCACTGCTAGGGGGCTAACCTAAGAACGAGACGGGTCGCTACCGGCAGCTCAGGGACGCCTCCCACCACTGCAAGCAGTGGTAGGACCCTGTGGATATTTCGAAAGATATCCCCGGCAGGCAAAGATGTAACAGCGGTTCGAATGATGCCGATTGTAATACTGGTACATTTGACATAACAAAATTTTCTCTTGCCACACGCTTACTTGTCTCTTCTACCAGTAATGCCGTATGTAACAATTCTTGTTGATGCTTTTACGTGTTTTACTTGCTGTGGCAACCGCTTGTACTTCTTCTTGATTTAATGCTACTTTTCAACACGAGTTTTAGCATGCGGTAACCACGGTGGATCAACTGCATGTAAATTTAAAATGCCTAATGCCGGTGATGATAGAACAAATTCGATACTTGGTGGTAAAATCTAATAAAAATGTAAATATTAGGAACAGAAAATTAGAGAATCTGCAGTACTATGCGTACCTTCATCATCGAATGAGCACCTTCTTCTAATCGAATCCAAAATTGATAACGAAAACGCCATAACGTTTGAAATTTTGATATGGCATTATATCGAACAAGCATCAAATTCTTCGTCGACATTACAATCATCGGGCGGTTCTATCTGACTATCCACACCGCTCTGATCATCTGTTTCTGATGATTTTCCACCACCTTGTCTTGGAGCAACTGGCACTAAAATCACATAAACATGTCCTTTCAATCAAACAAATTTTAAATATTTTTCTTACTTTGCCTCTTATTCATGAAACTACTAGCATTTCCATCCACGACAACGGCATCATCTTCTGACATATTTATTGCCGTATGATTACTTCCATTTGAATCGTTCTCTTTATTAACAGCAAAACTTATGTGTCGTTCTCCAGTTGAAGCAACACTTGGCAATAGACCGATATTAATAATAGTTGTTGCTGTTGTAGTTCATAAAGATGGAGCTGGAACGGTCGATGGAGCAGCTGTAATTTTTTGCGGCGAAACTGAAAATAAATACAGTGGTTCTTCCTCCTGAGACAGCATCAAGTGAAGAGGAAGGACCTGTGCCTATGGAAGATGATCAAATTATATTGATTTCAATCATATCTCTATTATTGGTGATCTCACTGAGCTGTACTCTTTTTGCTGCGAAGAAACTAATACCCGGTTCCTCAGCACTCTCCTCTACATGACACTTCGACGCTTTGGCCATTCGTGGCGTTCGATTGATGGTTTTCTCAAAGATATTGGTGCTATGACAGCAAAAACATCTCACAAATGGGCTGATGTGCTCATAAATCAAGATTTCGACGAATTCAAGTAAGTTTTTCTCATAAGATGAAGAATCGGCTCCTAAGTGGTAACTTTTGTTGTTTTTAGCTATGATTCTCGTGGTGGAAAGCGAGGCGACAGCTTCTTCGATCTCTGGAATTGGAAGCCCGTCAAT